GAGAGTTTGATTCAAAGAGATTGGTGAATAAACATTTCAAAAGGCTTTCACGCAAAGAACTTCCAATCAGATCCGCTGAGGTTAAATCTGGTTTCCTTTGGATCTTTGTCTCTTTCTTTTAATAGCTTCTGGGTTTAGGGCATTGGTTCTCCGACATTAAAGCAAATGATCATTTGTGGTTAAAGATTGCAGCTTTTTGTCGTATTTCGACTTGTAAAGGATTCATTGCCTGAATGCATCCATCATATATGAACTATGATGATGATTGCATAAGTATCTCTTTCGAGTTACGGTTGTTTTCCTTGTTCTCTCATAAGGTGGTTTTGATATAAACTGTTTATTATGTGTAGATAAACCAAACAACTGATCTAAATGAGCAAGTAGAGAAGGAACCTTGGCTTTCGTCCGAGAAGGTCGTAGTGAAACCTGACATGTTGTTCGGGAAGCGTGGAAAGAGTGGTTTGGTTGCCTTGAAACTAGATTTTGCTGAAGTTGCCACTTTTGTGAAAGAGCGTTTGGGCAAAGAGGTACCTTCGGTTTTAAATCTGTCTTTCTGAGACCATTTTACACTTACTATTTCTACTATCATCTGTAGGTAGAGATGAGTGGATGCAAAGGACCCATAACTACATTCATAGTTGAACCATTTGTACCACACAATGAAGAGTTTTATCTTAATGTTGTCTCGGATCGGCTTGGATGCAGCATAAGCTTTTCAGAGTGTGGAGGAATTGAGATCGAAGAGAATTGGGACAAGGTAATTTGGAAGACCTTTCTTTCAGAAATTTTTTTTTTCCAGATGTCTAATTCAGTATCTTGCATAATAAAGATGAAAATTTTGTGCTGAGGCTTCAATTTCTACACAGGTCAAGACAATATTTTTACCTACTGGTGCTTCTCTAACACCTGAAATGTGTGCACCTCTTGTGGCTACTCTTCCCTTAGAGGTAATCATCGACTCTGAACATGACATATAATCTGGACTCGTGACTTCGACTTATAATATTTCGACGTACAGATCAAAGCAGAGATTGAAGAATTTATCAAAGTCATTTTCACCTTATTCCAAGGTATGCCAAGGATAGCTGAACCTACATACAAAGACCAAATCACTTTTACAAGGATACAAACTAAGCCTTAAGTCTTGTTTTTTTTTTTTTGGTGTGCTAGATCTTGATTTCACTTTCTTGGAGATGAATCCATTCACACTAGTTGATGGAAGGCCTTATCCTCTGGATATGAGGGGTGAGCTTGATGATACTGCCGCCTTCAAAAACTTCAAAAAGTAAGTCTGACTTCTGCATTGCCCAAATCTTTTGAGCTTAGGAACTACGAGTATGCGCAGATGATTAACCCTTCAAACTTGCAGATGGGGCGACATTGAATTTCCTATGCCATTTGGAAGAGTAATGAGTCCCACAGAAAGCTTTATCCACGGACTCGATGAGAAGGTATCATCGTCTTGACGTTAATATAACTAAAACTTTTGTCTGTTTCATCGTTCTGTGACTAGTAAAGAGTGCTTTCTTTGTTATGCAACTTTGTGGGTATAGACAAGTGCGTCGTTGAAGTTTACAGTTCTGAATCCCAAGGGACGGATTTGGACAATGGTAGCTGGAGGAGGAGTGAGTGTCATTTATGCAGATACCATATGTTCTCTAAAGAATCATTTTTGAGAGTCTCTGCATTTTTCCTCCTTACTAGTCCATCTAACATTAAAATTTCTTATCCAGGTTGGAGATCTCGGGTATGCATCTGAACTTGGTAACTATGCTGAATACAGTGGAGCACCTAAAGAAGATGAGGTTCTGCAGTACGCCAAAGTTGTTATTGATGTAAGATTAAAAAAATTTCTCCTTCCATAGACATTTCTTTCCTGTGACTGAATAGTAACAATACAATACTGCAGTGTGCTACTGCAAATCCGGATGGAAAAAGCAGAGCTCTTGTGATTGGAGGTGGAATAGCCAACTTCACTGACGTTGCTGCTACTTTCAATGGCATCATCCGCGCTCTTAAAGAAAAGGTAAACTGGAGATTTTCTTTGAGTCATTTACTGACTAAAGGAGATCAAAAGCAAAACATATTCGTATTGTGTTGTGATTTGATTTGTCAACAGGAAGCAAAGCTGAAAGCAGCAAGGATGCATATATTTGTGAGGAGAGGAGGACTGAATTACCAAAATGGACTTGCGAAAATGCGAGCTCTTGGAGATGAAATCGGTGTCCCCATCGAGGTCTATGGTCCAGAAGCAACCATGACAGGGATCTGCAAGGAAGCAATCCAGTACATCACAGCCGCAGCATAAGCCAATTCATATGTAGTACCAAAAACATCGGTTTTTTGGAGCCTCTATCTACGTCTACTTTGTGTTCAAGACACTCAATCTAAGCTACTTGCAAACTCTTGTGGTTCGATTCTCTTTTACATCAGATTCAATCAACAGTAATTGGTACTCTTGTTAATTTGCTTGCCCTGATTTTTCCTTTGATTTGATGATCTCATAAAGCGTTAGATGTTCTGTTGTGAGACCGAAAGAAGAACGATGAATGACAGAATCAAATTTGAGTAACATAATCATATCGAACAAAAGTACCATCGATACTGAGAAAATAACAAACGAAAGTTTCGACATTTCCAATAATAGTTATCAAGGAAGTTGTTGTTGCTGCTGCTGAAGACTGATGAGCTTAGAGTAAGGACCATGGATGTTCTCAGCGAGGCTATTGTGGCTTCCTTGCTCTATGATCTTACCTTCTTGTATTACACTTATCATATCTGAGTTCTTGATTGTGGATAACCGATGAGCCACCACCACCGTGGTCCGGTTCTTCATTAGATGATCCAATGCTTCTTGTACCTAACAATTCATTAGTATAAACCCGTTAAATCTGTAGTTTATCTCTCAAACCAAACTCTAATGCTAAAGAAGAAAGCTTACCACAAGCTCTGATTCAACGTCCAAGGCGCTTGTGGCTTCGTCAAGGAGCAGAATCTTTGGATTACTGAGGATGGCTCTAGCGAAAATGTAGATAATTACTATACCTAACATAGTTTATTTAAATAAAAAATGATTATTGTCATTAACGGAGTTTACAAATTCTTCATGTATGCGCATTATGCATATGAATCACCTTGAAATAAGAAGAAATAATCATTTTGTTTGGTTTCTTGACGAATCAATATATATGGTTTTATTTTGGAGTTTATATTCTTAGAAGTTGTTGAAGAAGACAAAGAGAAAGAAAATACTCAACTGGATGATATCAAAGTTCTAAATAAGAAATTATGTTTTTATTAAATATTGATTAAAATTTTGGAAACTTAAGTATACATAATTGGCCAATATCCAAATATTAAAATGCCATTCAATCATCTTTCGACTAAAACATAATTCACTGAAAACACAAAACTCTTTTCGCTGATGGGYTTTACTTCCAAAAATTCAAACAATTTCGACATTTATTGAAATGGTGGCTCCTATGGAGCAAGAGTCTTAACAAATTATAACTGAAATTTTCAAGTGAGTTTTTAAAACTTTATTCATTTTTCCATTATATGCAAATGACAACTATATATACTATTTTTTCTTTTGTAGATCTAAAAAGTCAGTTATTTATAATTATATATGTAAAATATTTGAAGGCTATTGTGATTAGCTAGGAGGAAAACAAACAAAAAGAAATATGAAAGAATAAGACAAAAACAATGAAAAAACAGTAAAAAAATAGAACAAATAAATTTTGAAAGAATAAGGAAAATAAACTGAAAACGAGGATAAAACTGCAAAAAGAAGTTGGAGAAAAATGGAAAGACTGAAATTAAAAAAAAACAATTAGCAAATTTAATGAGAAATTTCAAAAAATGCCACTTTTCAAGTGCCACTTTACAAAAATGCCACACTTTTGAAATCTTTACAAAAATGTGATGAAAGAGCTTTTTCCGGTTTCAAGATTAAAACCTAGAATTACTAATCCGATGTAGAATAGTGAGGTTCGTTAAGGGACCAGCAATACGCTCTAATTCTATGGAACACAATCTCAGCTAAGCGATTCAAGTTGGGGTTTAAATGTCACAATAAATTCGAAACAAAACACAAGTAAAAATCGGTTGTAAACAATAGTGGAAAAGCGTTAGGTCAGGGATAATTCTCAAGAATTCGAATATCAGGAACCCAGCAATTATTCAGGTATGCTATTACGACCAAGTCTCGAACTCAACCATAAATGTAAGGAGATCCACTTTCGTGGCATCTACAACTTTAACAATCAAT